GGCAGGGAAAGTGCAAAATTTGAACTTTCAGTTAACTGTTGGCCAGTGAAAAGGGTGCCTGTCTGCTTCCTCACTCCTCCCAGCGTTTAGAGAGCGGATTGGGAGACAGTCTTCAGACTGCCTGGTACTGGACTGCCTGGACTGTATTTTCCCTGCCTTCCCTGAACTTTTCTTGACCTAAGAAAAAAGGAAACAAAATATCGCCCTCCAGTGGTCAAAGGCAGAATAGTAGCTTCCCATTAGTTTCTATGGACGGAAAAGAGCAGATGCGGATCAAATGGTTTTCAGCGCATTCCTATGGGAAATGCAGATTTGACCTGAGAACGTTTTGACTTGAGAACCGCCTTCCAATACGGATTAAGTTCTCAAGTCAAGACCCCACTGTAAGTTTATAGATATAAATATATAGATACAGATATAGTTATAGATATAGGTAGCATGCACAATTGTGTGGGTGAAATGCGATACTAACACAGTGTGACAATAACATTATTAACACGTAATGAACTTTCAAAGTGTTGATTCCATAAATATCTTGGCAAGGTTTTATTTTATTGCTTTGTTTTTATTACCCATTCTAAGACTAAGATGGCTACCTCCATAAAAATTTATTCTGGAAAATCTCCAAAAGTGGTTTAAATTGGGATGTCATGGATCATGATCTGAAAGTATACTGTAACAGGTTTGGTATCTGGACATTTTAAAAACACCTGCATTTCTGTTGATTAAGCCTCAACAAAAAATGAAGGTTCTCTGTGGATTATGTTATAAAAGGAAGGACACTTGTTCTTAACTTTTGTTTCCAACTTTACATAATTATTGGTTTTTTGAAACATCCTTTTGCTGTTAATCACATTGGAAGTTACACCTTTAGCAAAATCACATTTCATCTTGCCTGAAACGTAGAGAGATCTGCAAATTATGTGGGGTAAAATTATTTTAATAAGTTATGGGAATACAAAGCTGTGAATGTAGCATCTTATTTCATTTTAAGCTTTGCAATTAAGACATTCATTGGATAGTTCAAAAGAAAAGTAGCTTGAGATACAAGACACCAACACCTAATGGGTTTTATTCTTTTTTGTGAGCTCACATTGGAGAAGTATATAGAAAAATTGATAATTTTGCAGTAAGAGGAGGAACTGTATTATTTATTTTCTTCAAAGGACATTTTGTTATGTTTCTCCTGATTTTGCATCAACATATTACACATATTTACTCAGAAGTAGATATACTTAAGGATGTAGTCCTAACTAGCCAAGATGCCTGAAGGCTGCTGAGCTGAGTCTAAGTCAGCTGAATCCAATCTCCTCTTAGGTTAAAGATTTTGGAAATTACTTAGGACTGCTCTCCCGTGACCTAACTTTGTGCCAGCAATCTGTATCCCCCACCTCTACCAATTAAGTCAATACCTAAGTAACTACATCTTTGGGGTTATTCCCCCCGCAGTAGGTGCTTGCTGCTGGCATTGGTTAATTTTTTCATCTGTCTTTGTTCTCTCTTTAGATGTCAAAATTTTGTGCTGTAATAGAAATCAACCTGATTTTAAATGGCTTTTAATATTTTATTGTACTATATTTTAATAGAGTATATTATATTGTTTATACTGTTTTATATTGTTTTATCTGATGTATGGTGCAATGGCCTGTGTGCCACGCAATAAACTTATTTTGCTTGCTTGCTTGCCAGCATAGTTGACCTCAACTAGCACAGCAGTTGTGCTGCCAGAACCAGTTGTGGCACCTGATCTGAGAACAGCCAACACAAGAGCAGTTGTGGTTCCACAAATTGCTTCCACTCATTTCATACCCACTATGGCCAGCATATAGTTTGAACTGTGAATTCAGTGAAACTACTGGAAAGCATAGGTAGAGTATCAGTCATGGTTGTACAGTACTTATGGAAATATGTAAAATGATACAAATTATTGGGCTTTGTTCATAACTACTGTACATTTTAATATAATTAAATGTTTCAGAAATTATTCATATACCCTTCTGTTTTTTTTTAAAGCTGCATTAGCCTTTAGCAATAAACTTATTTTGCTTGCTTGCTTGCCAGCATAGTTGACCTCAACTAGCACAGCAGTTGTGCTGCCAGAACCAGTTGTGGCACCTGATCTGAGAACAGCCAACACAAGAGCAGTTGTGGTTCCACAAATTGCTTCCACTCATTTCATACCCACTATGGCCAGCATATAGTTTGAACTGTGAATTCAGTGAAACTACTGGAAAGCATAGGTAGAGTATCAGTCATGATTGTACAGTACTTATGGAAATATGTAAAATGATACAAATTATTGGGCTTTGTTCATAACTACTGTACATTTTAATATAATTAAATGTTTCAGAAATTATTCATATACCCTTCTGTTTTTTTAAAGCTGCTTTAGCCTTTATCAGTATATTCAGAATTAAGCATACAGTGTAGTGTTGCTTACGATAATGTAAGGTGTGATGTTTGTATTATCACACATTTCTTTAGGAGGAGTGGAGCATCTATCTGTAAAATGGTTCCTTCCTCTGTTTAGCCAACTCAGTATACAATGTCAGAGTTGTGTTGGTTCTTATGAAGATACAGTCAAATGGACAAACAGTGTCTTTTGCCTTTTGGTAGCTCCTCTTTGGTCTGATAGTTGATACATTTTACCAATTGCTGTCCCATCATATTGGTAGCTGATCTCAGAGAGAGAACCACCACCACCACCACAATTTTATTTAATATTAACTGCTAGGAATTAAATCATGACAATGGAGCTATGACCTCGAACTAATTTGCATTTCAGATAAAAGGTTTCCTATATTAGTAGTTCAAGCTTAATCTCAGAATCCAGTCTGAGTAACACAATGTCAAGTGGGCTGTAAAACAGGAAGCCGTTCCATACAAACCTAGTTTGCTGTACTTAGAATCTAATATCAATGGGAAAGGTTAGTTAGACTAACCTATGTCCCTGTGAGGAGGAATCACTTCCCAACAGAAAAGAGGAGCGTGAGCCATCCCCTCCAGCACCCAAAACTGAGAGTAGAGGAGAAAAAGAATGGAAAAGAAGAGCGAGAGAGGGGAGGAGCCAATAGTAGAGAGATATCTGGTGACAGGGGCTGAGGAGAAGGAAGAAGGGAAAAGAGAGCTAGACTGGGAGACTGAGATAGAAAAGGAGGAGGAGAAAAAGAAAGGAAAGGAGGTGAAGGAAGAAGACATTCCTCTAGGATGGGGTTGGTTAGAAATGGAACACCCCTGGGCAGGAGAGTGTGTTAAAATGAAACTGCCCGTAGAGGAAATAGAAAGGAGACTACAATATCGCAATGTGAGACCTGAGGGGAGTAAGATAGGAAAAGAGGGAGAAGAGCTGAAAAGGCAAAGAAAGGAAGGACTGGCAGTGCAGCTGGGGGAAGCAGAACCAGTGGAATGGATGGTATATGCTTGTTGCAAGAAGGAAGATCAAAGGTGGTGATGTCGCATCCAGAAACGCTCACAGAGGGAGAATGGGCTCATCACCTGTGTTGCGGTACCATATGTCTCAGTCTGAGGAAACCCATGAGAAAACCCACAGATTGTGAATGGTTTGGAGTGAACCCCCGAAGGTGAACTCTCTTGTGATGCCTGAGTTAAGGGGCTGTTATGTTGAATGCAAGGAAACTGAGGGACCAGTTGGTCCAACTGAAGTTGTTGTTCATGGTTCTGTGGTATTTGAAAATAAATGTTTATGAAGAAAGCCTGTCTCTGGCCTGTCTCCACCTTCTAAAAAGGGGGAACAAAAAACGGAATGGGCTTTCCCAAAGTTGGGCCCACCCACAGTCCCTTTGATTTCAGTGTCGGACCAAAATGCAAAAGTAACTTAGTCTAAATGTTGTCATACTTTTTGACATGGTCTTCACCAAACCTTAATACCATTTTTCATTGCTTTATTTATTTTCTGTTCATGATTAACAAATCCATGATTATTTTACACTTTTGTGTGGCAAATATAAATATAACCTTATTTTATTTTATTGCACTGAAAGAATACGTTTTGAAATGAACACCACCACCCACCCCAATATATTTTAAACATTTCATGCTATTTTTTACTTCGGAAGATAAAACAGAAATTTGGCATAATTATTTCCAAAGGGTTCTTGCTTTTGTGCAGGGCCAACAGGTGAACAGAAATGTCATCTCGGCAGACACATTGCTTCCTGTGTGTAAACATTTATGAAGGAGGGGATCTAGGCACTCCATCACTGTCAGTAAAAACAGACTGGCTCTTTTGTATTATGTCTTTCGGATTTGTTTGTCTGAGGGCAGACACTAGGTTGCTTAAGGGCAGAATAAAATGATTTAGATCAACAAAGAATGCTGTAGCCCCTCTTTCCCCAACCTGATACCTTCCAGATGTCTTAGACCTCAACATCCATCATCCCTGGAGCCTTGTTGTGCAGGATCAATGAGAACAGTAATCTATCAGATCTGGAGGGCGCTAGATTATGGAAGAGTTACTTGATATATAGATTGTGGGTGTCAACAGTAAATACAATATGCTGGGGGCTGAGCCGTTCTCTACATGTCACAAGACATACAGCACATGTTAGAAGACGTATCAGGAACAGTTGCAATGAGAATCAAAAGTGTGCTGTTTTGCTCTGTATTAGGTCAATACTGCTGGTCTGACAGTGAAATAGATCTTAACTAGAAGCCAAAATAATGTTATTTCGTGTGGCTCTTAAACCTTACTCCTTCACTTTCTTGTTTGCAGCTCCTGGTTTGCAGCTGATTTTTGAGTTTTGATAAAAATTATTGACTTAGAGTTTTACCAGTTGTAGGCCAGCAGTAGTACAAATATAATTTTTCTTCCTCAAATTAAATCTGACACACTTACAGAAGGTTCTCTGTGAATCAAGTTGTGTAAAATATTGCTGACATTTCCGATGAAAATTAATTTAAGACATATTAGTTACAGATTATTCCTGAGTCTTTGTTTGTTGGCTGTGACGTATTTTTATAATATTTTATTTTAAATGCAGGTGAACCGAGGAAATTTGATCCAAAGTTCAGCGGACCTATTCACAACAGGTAAATACCTTAATTCAGTATTTTAAACTCTTCATTATTTTTCTCCTCTGGAAAAGAAGGAAAATATGCATTTAAATGACACTTCTCCCCATGTGGCAATCTTTCTGTGCTTGGAGGGTTTTCTCTTATTGAATATAAGTGTGAATGTGCTTGTGTGTATGTGTGCATGAAAGGCCAGGATCCAGTATGCAGAGGAGCTCCTACCATACCCATTAAAGGTTATCATTGAGGTAGCCATGTTAGCCTGTTTCAGAATGTGCAACAGAAGTAAAATCTAAAGAACTATAGCACTTCAAAGACTGAGGAAGTGAATTATGATATCCAAAAACTCCCACTGAAATAAATCAACTAGTCTTTAAGGGGCCACAACTTTTTGGTTTTTATATTTGTTATGTATTAAGGGATAGTTAACTTACAGTGCTTATCACAGGCAATTCAGAGAACATCCTTATGTCTGCTAATAATAACCAAACTTTATGTGGGAACTTCCTTAATGCTGATTTTGAAGGGCAATAATTACCTTCACATTAGAACTGAGATCAAGGGATTAATTACTTACAAATGTTTATTTAGAAAGTGCAGTTGAATAAGGACATGGATGCATAAAAGGAAGTGAGAAGTGAAGCTATTTGATGGCTCAAGTTCTACTGTGAGCCAGTTGCTAGTAAAAGAAAAAGGTAATTCAGTATTGATTAGATTTTGCAGGTGGAATGAGTTTCAAATAGGGCATACCTACTATTACTACTGCCACTACTATTACTACTACTGTTTTTGCACTTGTACTTATTATTTCTCAACATTCCTGGTGCTTGGGGCATAACAAGAGATCAAGTCAAAAAATTAGGAATCAAGTCCTAAAATATGTGGGTGAGGTAACACTGATCTTTAGATTTTAGAGTCTTGCTCTTATGATTATGATTCAATGGCATCTCTTATTTCACAGCATTGCTGGTACTCAGGGGCAGACCAAATTATCAAACCTAAAAATTAGGGGTGAAATAAAAATTTGCAGATGAGATAACATGTTTGCAATTTTTTTTTAATTTTAGGAAGCAAGTTAGCAGCTATTGACAATTGTGATGATGTTGCTGCTGTTGTTGCTTCTGCTACTAACAACAACAACAACAACAACTTCCCCTCCATTGGATTAGAACAGGCTGCACGTTTCTGATAATAAAAGGTCATCAAAAAATCATCACACAGTAATTATTGACCAATTATGTGCCTTCCAACAATGTTCAAGCTACTCACAGGAGTACTTGCAAGATCAATATATAATTATTTAATTGAAAACTCCCGGTACCAAACTGAAAAGAAAGGGTACTTTAAAAAGTCAAGAGGCATGAAAGACCAGCTGCTTATTGATAAAATGGTACTAATAATGCAAGAAGGCAAAAACAAACCTTAACATGGCCTGTATAGACAATAAAAAGGAATTTGACTCATTGCGACACAGCTGGAGTAACACCTGACTAATGAATGAATTTATTTATTACGGTTGGGTGACCAGCTCATAAAATATATTAATGGCTAAAATATACACAATACAGTTTAAAAATATACAACCAATTCATAAAACATATTATGTGGCTAAAATATACAAAATGCAGTTTAAAAATGTACAACCAGTTTAACACCTGACTTAAAATTTTTGGGGTTATTAAAAATATTGAGAAGTTCCTCAGGAAAAACATAGGAAAAAAATGGAAAACTGTCTTAATGGCATATAGTGAAAAAACTGGGGAAGTTAGCATCAAAAGAGGAATATTTCAAGGGGATTCTTCATCACCACTGCTGTTTTACATCTCACTAATCCCCATGTCAATAATTTAAATAAAACTGGATTTGACTACCATATTTCAGAACAAGCAGGAAAAATCAATCATACATGGGTGATTTAAAACTATATGCAAACATTTCCACTGAGACAGAATCACTGCTAAAACACAGTGCAAATATTTTTTAGTTTTTTAAATTATCATAGGGATAGGGGTTAAGGTACAAATAGGGGGGTCAGGTAAAGGGGGGGGGAGAGCAGGAAAGGGTAAAATTCCAGAGAGTGAAAAAGTATTCTTACATCCACTTATACAGTTATGGAAATCATACAAAGAGGAAAACAATATAGCAATTTTCCAGGATATCTATAGTTACTAATCTTCCATTTTCTTGGACATTCTCTTTCTTTTTATCTTTAAATTTACTAATTTTATACGTTTGATATTATTCTGCCAAGTTTATGTCTACTGTTCTAAATCAATGTTATAACCATTAGTTTGTGCCCATTTTATCATATATTCTTTCACCAAAAAATACTCTCTTAAATTTAATATTTCCACCTTTTGATCATCTATAGAACATCTTATCTATCTTTTTTTATTCTGTCAGGTTTATATCCACTGTTCTACATCAATATTCTAACCAATATTTTGTGCCCCTTTTATCATGTAATCTTTCATTCCTTCATCTTCCATCTTGTCGACTTAAATATTCACTTAAATCCGCTCCCAAGAGCTTCATCAACTCCATGTCCTTCTTTGTCCCATCTGCCACAGCATATGTCCCATCATCTCCATTCTCTTCCCTTCCATAGTAAAGTTCACTAATGACATCTCCATAAGAGGGGTTAACAGATTAGCTCTCAGCTGCACTGTATCTTCACCTTTTTCTTCTGAAGGCTTCTGAGGTCTAGAAGTAAAATTGGCTCCCTCTGTTTGTGATTTTAGTAAACTGGTTTCCTGTTGCAGTTCTGTTTTTTTTTCCATCTTCAAAACACAGTGCAAATATTTAGTGAAGATATTCAAATAAAATTTTGAAATGACAAATGTGCAGCTCTCTCTACACAGTTTGGCAAATAAAAACTAGATGGAATAGAGTTAAAAACGGGCGATATTATAAAATCACTATCAATTATAACTATTTGGAATACTAGAACTAAAAGCAAAGTGTGCTGCTTATCTACCGCCCCATAGTGCTTCAAGCACTCACTGGGTGGTTTACAAATTAATTATGCAGGCTACACATTGCTCCCCCCCCCAGCAAGCTGGTACTCATTTTACCAACCTCAGAAGCATAGAAGGCTGAGTCAACCTTGAGCCGGCTACCTGGAATTGAAACCCAGGTCGTGAGCACAGTTTTGGCTGCAGTACAGCAGTTTAACCTCTGCGCCACGATAACATTGTGCACACATAAGTTAAAGAACTAACAGAAAGGGAATATATAGAAAGACTATGGAAAATCTTAAAATCAAAATTAAATGGTGGAAATACAATCAAAACCATAAACACATGGGCAGTTCCAGGAATTAGATATCCAGCTGGATGAATAGATTAAAAATAAAATAAAATGTAGCATTTGGGGCCACTTACGATTGCTTCACCATGTGACCTTTGAGCTATTAACATTAATCCGCTTTATGTATATTCTGTTTATTTTTAAGTTGTAATAGAGATAGGGTGCTTGTTTTTTTAAATGTGGGAATTGCCATATTCCCAGAAGAAGAGCTCAGACTTGAAGCTTTTCAATGGAAACAGTGTGGTTATCCATTACAGTGGTGCCCCCGCCAGAGTGTGGTTATCCATTACAGTGGTGCCCCCGCTAGAGGATTACTTCACAAAATGACAAATCCACATGACGCTGAGTTTTTGCGATCGCTATAGCACTTCGTAAAACAGTGTTTCCTATGGGCGATTTTCGCTATATGATGTTTCGGACTGTGCTTCGCAAGATCCCCCCCCCCCGGGGCCT